CATTAATGATCCCAACAATCCATTTTTATAAAGACTTAGACAACAAATTTGTCAATAAAAAAATATAAAATGATTATAGTTTCCTTACTTTACTTGACTAGTAGTAGGCCTAATATTATATTTAACATTTATTTATGTGTCATGTTTAAGGAAAATCCTAAGGAATCTCAAGTGACTGCCATTAAAATAATTTTAAGATACATCATAGGCACAAAAAACTTAGGTATCTGGTATCTTAGGGATAGTTCTACTTTTGGCTTAGTTGGATACCCATATTAAGATTTTATTAGATGTAGAGTAGACAAGAAGTGCACCTTAAGAACATGCCAATTTATATGACAATCTTTAGTTTTCTAGTCTAGTTGGAAGCAAAACTATGTACCCTTATCCACCACAGAAGTAGAGTATATTACTGTAGGAAGCTATGTTGCCCAAGTCCTTTGGCTAAAGTAACATATTCTATATTTTAGACTCTTTATAGGAACAATCCCTTTTATGTGTGATAATACTAGTATAATTTATATCTCAAAAAATTTCGTTCAACATTCCCACACTAAATACATAGATGTTAGAAGCCACTTCATTAAGGATAATGTAGCCAAGGGCGATGCAGAATTATGACATGTGAATATTGAAAATTAATTGAATAGTCTTTTCACCAAATTTCTAAATTATGATAAGTTCAACACACTTTAGACTACATTCAATGTCATTGAAATAGGTGCTTGAAAATTAGGGTATTTGTATGTTTGTTTTTTTAGGGTATTTGTTATTTTTTTAATTTATGGTATTTATATTCTTGATGTGTTATTTGTATTTAGGGTTTAGTTTGCATTTTACTTGTATGCATGGTTACATGTTTTTCTGCTTGTTTGTAGGTATTTGTGTTTTAGTGGTTTATTTTACCTGCACTGTAGTCAATTTGTACTTCATCTTTTTGGTGATGTCAAAAAAGGGAGTATATAGTGTTGGTTGTATCAACATTTTTTATTAGTGAAATTTTTATGTTGCTATTTTATTCATTAATTATTGTGTTTATTTTTTTAAAGTTAAAATGAATAATACAAAATAAAAATAATGAAAAAATAAATAAGAAATACGATAAAAAATTCTCCCCATTTTTAAAGAAATTATTTATTATAGGGGAGAACTTAACAAAAAATTAATTAAAATCAAACTTGCAATTTTACAATCCCAATAAATAATATTTGCCATTATAAAAGAAGTTGGAGATTATTACAATCTAAGAACTCAACAACGTGTTTTGATGATTTAAAACATTATTAGATATTTTATTTACTTTTTTCCTGCATCACTTTTTGGATATTTATTTTGTGTACTTTAAACTATTTCAGGTACAACATACATCAAGCCATGATTGAAGAATTATCTTAAGATATTATAGTGTTGGTATAAAAGTAAGTCTGTATGTTATAGAGTCTGTATTTTTCATTTTTTTATTCTATTTCTCAATTAGGTGTATGTTATCTTAGCAACCGTGCACACACACAAAAGAGAGATTAAAATTTAATGTTTTAATTTTTCTATAAATCTTACTATACATTAATGATTATATTATACAATCTATTTAAAAAATTAATTAAAATATTTAATTAAATAAGATTAATTAAATTTTTAGCATAACTAATCATATTATATGACCATCAAATCATATAAGGTGATAAACTTTTTTGAGAAACCCTTCCATCAAATCTTGATTTCTTAAATTTTGAAAATTTAAACTTTGAAATTTGAGCTAATTATGAAGTATGAATTGGATCATACTATATGATCGTTTATTAAATTACCTAATTTAATCCTAAAGATTAATAAATCAAATCAAATCTAATATTCATTTGGAATTGTACTATACGATCATTTATCATACAGGATGATCGGTAGAGATCTCTCTTGGATGAACTTGGATCATCCTGGTTAATTTCTTATTTTATTTAACTAATCATACTATATAAACTAATTATAGCACAATAAGATCTAAGGCCACTAAATTGAAATTTAGGGTTTTTGATTGCCCCATTCACTCTTTCTTCTCTTGAGGAGAGAGTGTTTTGGTAATCAATTAACAATTTCTTTTATGTGAGAGAGCTTGGAGATTCAACTTCAAACAGGAGAAAGGAGGTGAGGTTGAGAGAGGGAGAAGAGTCTTGAGGAAGTCAAGGTAGTGTGAGGGGATTCAAATGGCTGCTCCGACTGGTCTACACCTTGGGTACTTTGATTATGTGTGTGGAGCTCTTTTGACCTCATTTTTATATGAGGTTATCAAGATTTATTTAACCTTCAACCAATCTACCATCCAGATTTCAATCCATATTTTAGTCCAGACTTCAATCAAGATCTCAATCAATCTTCAATCATGACCTCAATTAGTCTTCATTCTAGACCTTCAATCAAACTTCAATCATATCCAATCATCCATTTGTTTGTTATTGATATAGATAATTAAAATTCAAGTAATCAAACCAAAAGCCCATTTTAAACTCAAAATTCTAGCCAAATCTCATGGATAGAGGCCCTTATCCTGAAACCCTTTTTGGGTTATTTTTCAATCACTTTGAAATCCAGTCAATTTATCACAATTCATGATCTATCAATTGTATATTTATTGTGCATGTCCCCAGGATCAACCCTCCACATTTGAGTTCAATTTGACACCTCTAACCTTAGAAACTTAATTAAAATCCAAAGATTGCAAAACCTTCAAATATTTATAACCTATTCCACTAGACTTTTCACCTTATGGAATTTGACCTTGGGGCCTTACCCAAGATCTTTGACCATGTCCATAGCCTTTACTATGACATGTTAAGCATTAAAATGCATTTTGGTGGACCCAGTTTGGCCCTCAGTTGACCAGGGTCCAAATGACCTAAATACTCTTTAAGGGCAAAATTGTAATTTTCTCCAAACCTCAACATGGCCCAATAAAATCAAACTTTGAAACCTCTACCAATTCATCCTAAACATCATTAGGAGTTTATTGGACCTAGACTCAAACTTTGGTTTGACGTGGTTGACCAAATGACCCCTTAAGAGTTAAAATGGCCATTTTATGCTAAATAGCCATTTTAGTACATGAGACAACATCCATGGCCTCTAATGATTAAATTAAACTTATTGAGTCCAACCCAGCCCTTGGTTTGACTTGGTTGACCATGTCAGCCATGGTTAATCAAATCAACTATTAACCTTTATTTATATTCAATCAAGCTACGATTCGAGCCTAAATTTATTCAAAACACTTTGAATATCTTCCCTAGTGATTTGAACTTGATTAGACACATTGACCCAACCAATAGTTGACTTGGCCAACTGAGTCCAAGTTTGGTCAAATTTGACCTATTTAGGTCGAATTACCACACATAATCAAAATAGCACCTTTAATTTCTCAAACCCATTCCATTGCATGATTTAAGTGCATTTAAACTTATCATGAATCAAACCTTGATGAGTTTGACCAAGTCAACACATTGAGCTTGGCCAAAATCTTGCGTGTTTGGTCAAATCATCCCATACATTCAATCAATTTCCATTAAGCTTCCAATTCTATTTTATTTCAAAGTTTTAATGCATACAAATCATCATGGGTCCATCCATAGGGAGTTTGACCAGGTCAACTCAACACATTAAGTCAAACTCCATCTTATGTGCATTCATTCACTATCAACTTGGACTTGACACTTGTGACCTCTTTCACTCTAGCTCAAACAACTCCCCACATCTCCTTAAGTCCACCTCACCATTTGTTAAACAAGTTGACTGGTCAAACCAGTCAACAAATCACTCAAACCCCTTTGAAATGGTCAACTCCCCCTTTTAACATGAAATGCTCTACTTCAAAGCTATGGAATTTACTTAACCAGCATCTAGATAGCCCCTACCTGCCACCTCATCATTCCTTGACTGGTCAAATTAGTCAATAAATGGCCAAAACACCATTAAATGGTCAAAGTTTTGCTTACATGGTATTTCATTTCAAACCCTTTGATTTAATCCTTCCAAATGAAGTCTAAAGCTCTCCCAAACCCTCCTTAACCAACTCCAAGGGTTGGTTTAACCCAAGATGGCAAAAGTGGCCCCCCTTCTCCAGAAGTCACCAATGGCATAATGGCTCAACCCAGTCTTCCTCCTACCACCCAAATGGCCTGATACAATTATAAAGCATATGATGATGGACTCTGATGCATCAGGGCCATTCATTCTAAACCCTAGAGCTTAATTCAATAAAAAATCCTCATTTTATCCATCCAACTCTATCTCAGCCCCCAAGCCCTCCTAGAATGAAAGCTCTTTTCTTTTGAACTCTATCCCCCCACACTTCTACTACAAAACCATGTAGTTGCATGTCATCGGCAATGAGCTCTCCTATGAATCAACCATCCATTCCTTCAAGGCCCAATATTGCACTATCAAGGAAATTTCAACTGTTGATTCCTTCTAGAGAAAGATACACGGATAGTTTTGTGAAAAGCCCATTTTAAACCAAGAAAACACTCCCCCACGCATGCTCTTTGCATGTGTAAGATCTGTTTAAATTTTTGTTGAAATTGACCGTGTGGATTGAAAGAACGAACTCATTTTTCATTCCCAGATTTTAATAACATAAACATGTACGCGTACATTTTCTGAATCATTTGTTGACCTCGTTTTGATTGCAATTCTCCCTCAAGCATGTTCGGTTATTTTGATCGAGCCTTGTCAAGTCTAATTTGAGGCAAGTCGGTTTCAATTAAGGTATAATTTCTTAAAATTAATGTAGCAGATACGCATTGAACTTGAATTAACTCGATTCAAGTCAAATTAAGTTCGATTTGGGCTCAAATCTGACCCAAACCAGCCCAAATTAATTCCAATTAAACTCTAATTTGCTTATTGATGAATTTGAATCTGATTCCATAAAACAATCAGATCTGACGGTTTGGAATAGTTTGAAACCTCAACATTGTTGATTCAGGGTTTCTCAGTCACGTGATGAATAGGGAAATCAAGGCAGAGTAAGACTTTGAAGGGCAATTGAGAAGGCTTTCATTCCTAAGGCATATATGCGCGGCAGGCCCTTTCTCCAGTCTGATTTTGATTTCCTGAACCCTGGACCTATCTCTCTCATGCATGAAAAATCCCCAACCAAAGCTCTATCTCTCTCTCGATTCTTCCCCCCTCGCATTCTCTCCTTCGTGTGACACCAGAAGCCGAAGCCCCCATTCGGCCTTTGTTCACACTGCCCGGGTCTGTCGCCCTCTAGTTCGTGAGCCCTAGCTGACGTCAACCCCTCTGCTTGTCTTACCTGGTTGTAAGAAGTCCAGTCCCCCGCCTTAGCTACTAGCCTCCATCCCTTTGCAAGGTAACCTTCTTCTTCTTCCCTTTTCTTCATGATAATCCGAATAATGAGAAAATAGTAACATATAGATTCCTTGTGAAATCTCAAAAGAAAAACAAAAAAAAAAAAAAAAAAAAAAAAAAAATAAAAAATAAAAATAATAATAATAATAATAATAAAAAACAGAGTTAGTTCTGATTTTTCTACTTAAGAGACGTAACATGAGTATTCCCAATCACTTATTCATTAAATGATTGCTCTAATTCTTTCCTTTTTTAATTTTTTTTTTTGCTGGACATCTTATGATTGTATTTATTCATTATCAAGTGATGAAATGTTTCTTGTAACTCAGTTTTGAGAAGAGAATTGATTTTTGGTGATGATAAATTGTGTTTAGTGCGCTCTTGCTATCGTTGTTTAGTGATAATTATTATTTAAGCCATTCTCAAGCTTGGGTGTAAGACGTGTTATGGTTTGATTCCTATGTTCATTTATGGCTTGACGATTATATAAATCGGAGCTTTATGCAAAGGTATTCATGTAGCTTCATCACCTTATATTCCATGATTGATTGGGAAAGTTTATGCGTGTATCTACAAGGTTTTTATTAAAATGATTTTTACAATAGAAGGTTATATATGTAAAGTGGTCGTTCAATGTTATTTCATTAATGAGTTCAAGAAACTCTCGTGTTCATACTTCAATGTATATGAATGTTTGGGATTTTAATGAGATGAATATCCGGTGTGAGTAGGCCCATGAAAATCCTTGTTACACTTCATTAGTTACATTGAATTTTTTGAACAGCATGCTATAAGCTATGTTGTCATGAGTTCATGGCTTGGATGGACACACATATGCTCACACTATTTCCTTCAAATATCATTATTCATATATTACATACGAAAGATTGATAGTTGTGTAGAGGTGACTTTAAGTTTTGGAAGGGATAGTTACGTTTTCTTCTCCTTTTGTTGCTTCCTTTTATCATATACATCAAGTTTGAGTTTCATCTATGCTAATAAGCCTTTATGTATTTTATGCATTAGTATAAATTCTACATTAACAAGCTCTCGTGTGCTTTATGTATACCCATCACCTATGTTAATCCTCTTTACTCATATCAATATGCTTTCATGTGTTTTGCACTCATAGACTTGGTTATACATAACATTACATAGAGGTTATGTGAGCTTTGAAATAGAGGATTTTAGTAAAAAGTGAAATTCTTTGTTATGATTGATGTATGTATATTTATCACCCGTATGCAAGAAATGAGATTTTATTTTTAAGTAGATTTTTGTTTATGACGAGGAGTTTATGCATATGTAAATAATTCTATAAGAAATTGAAAGCTATCACACACATGTATATGTAGATTTTGTAATGAAACTTCATTTGTCAAGTTCAATAATTACAAACACCATATGAAATTTATAACTCTCATACTTATTGTAGTCGAATAGTTGTATTCTCTCTATCATGTTTATATCAATGTTAATGAAGTGTCATACTTGTAGTTTGTTTGTATTTCAAGTATCATGAATTGATAAAAAATTGGCTATATGTGGTTTTGTTCTAGTTAATATAAATGTTTTGAATTTTAGAAGCATATAAAAGTTTGGTATGAATATATCTTACTTTTGTTTCCTTTCTCCGCACATGTCATGCCAAAGTGAAAAAAAGGATTTGAATTTGAAATGTAATATTTGATCTCTACATATTCCATGAATAGCTTGGTCATTAATAATGATTTAGCTCTCTTTCTCATACATATATAGTGATATTTTGCTTAATATTAAAACTTGTACGTGGCAAAACAAATGTTATACTTATAGATATTTCTTTGATAACATCATTCTTTGTAAATTGTCTTTATCATTTATTAGATATATCGTTTACCACTCACTATGTATGTGGAATTTGTCTTGGTTGTTCTCTCTTTGAATTATATTGAACATAGAATTTGAGTTGGGATAAACGAATAAGTGAGATGAAGAGGATAATAGCAATTTGGGATTTCTTTTCTTCCTAACTCTTTTTGAATAGTGCCTACTATAATTTTTTACTTTCTTTTTTCTACTCTCTCTTGTGAGGTACTTGTGTCCTGTATAGGTGAGTTGATGAGTCGTTCATTTGGGATCTTTTGCGAGGCACGCCATGGTTAAGTATAACTCTACAACTCTATAAAGACATCTCATTGTATGCCTAATGGAAAACACATTAGCACACACTGGACTGTCATTTTATTTTCCCACCCAAATGCATATGGTAGGATGTATTGGGCATTAGCCTTAGGTTAGCACACTAACAAAGCCTTGAGATTGTGGGTCAAGGCTTTCCCCCTTCTATGAGCCCTAGAAACCTTTATCATCACATTAAGCCTATGTGTAGGCCCACATACTTGTGCCATTTGAATCACTTTTTTTTTCCACACAATGTGGGTATCGCTAGGTTGATTTTCTTTGGAATTTTAAAACATTTAAATAACTCTAAAAATTAATTTTTAAATAATTTTTTAGGCTTAAATGATGTTGTCCATTAATATAATCAACAATAACAACATCAACAACAACATCAAGTCTTTGTCCCACTACGTGGGGTCGGCTACATGAATCATTTTTCACCATTGTGTTTAGTTAAAAGTAAAATTCTCATCTAAATCTTAAAAAGAAAGATCATTTCTAATATTTTATAACCAAGTCTTTTTAGGTCAACCTCTACCTTTCTTAACATAAGCCAAATCTAATACCTCAACTTTCCTAACCGAGTCATCGAAAGGCCTCCATTTAATGTGACCAAACCATCTAAGGTGACTCTCTCTAATCTTATCTTCCACTGGAGCTACTCCAAACTTTTCACGTATATGCTCATTTCGTATCCTATCTCTAAGGGTCAAGCCACTCATCCACCTCAGCATCCTCATCTCTGCAACACTTAACTTAGTATTATGCTTCTCTTTTAATGGCCAACATTCGGCACCATAAAGCATTGCAGGTCTCACCACCATCTTATAGAATTTTTTCTTAAGTTTGAGGGGGACTTTTCTATCGCACAATACGCTAGTAATAACTCCAGCATATATATCTTTAATGATTTGAATATAAGCATTATTAACTTCTTTCTTTTCAAGAACTCTCCACAGCACTTCTATTGGAACTTTATCATATGCTTTCTCTAAATCAATAAATATCATATGTAGATTCTCCTTATTCTCTCTTTATTTCTCCATCAAACTTCTCAATAAATGTATGATTTCCATAGTAGACTTACCCGTCATGAATCCAAATTGATTTTGAGAAACATTAGTATCACGCCTCAACCTATGCTCTATAACTCGCTCCCATAGTTTTAAAGTATGACACATTAACCTAATTCCTCTATAATTCGCACACTCCTGTGCATCACCTTTATTCTTAAAAATAGGAATTAACACACTCATTCTCCACTAATGTGGTATCTTTTTAGTCTTCAAAATAGTATTAAAAAAGTAGTATACTGATATTATGCTCATTCTAAAAACTTATAAGCCAAGAAATTCCTTCATCTCCTAAGCATTTTCACATCTCTATTGGAATATCATCAGGTCCAACAATTTTTCCACACTTCATTTTCTTTAAAGCCTCGCTAACTTCGGTTTTACTTATACGCCGATAAAAACAAAAATCTTTATTTTCATTTAGGGTGATAAAGTCACTAAAGTTAATCATATTTTCACATTCTCCATTAAAAAGTTTAACAAAATGTCTCATCCACCTTTGTTGAATATCATCTTCTAAGAAAAATAGTTTTTGATCTTTATCCTTAATACATTTCATTTGAACTAAATCCTTACTACTCTTATCTCTTTGTTTGGCTAACTTATACATATATCTTTCTCACTCCTTAGTATCTAATATATTATATAAATCATTAAAAGTTAAAACCCTTGCATCGCAAATAACATTCTTAGATTCCTTACAAGCCTCTTTATAACTTTCCCAATTATCAAAATTTTTACATCTAAACTAATTTTTATAACAAAACTTCTTATTTTTTATCTTTTCTTGCACATTTGGATTCCACCACCAACTATTTTTACTATTATGAGCTTTTTCCTTTGAAACTTCAAGCACATCTTTTGCAATATTCTTAATATCGCAAGCCGCATTTTCCCACATAATATTGGCATCCTCATGCATGGACATAATCTTAAGATATAAAATCTTACTCTCAAAAATATTTTTATTAATATTCTTTAAATGCCCCCATCTAATTCTAGAAAATTGTTTTACTTTATTTTTTATTTTTTCCCATTTATCTTAAAGTTCAAAATTAATAATCAATGTTGGGTACATAAATTTTCACTCAGAATAACTTTACAATCTTTGCAATCTAAACGATCTAATTTTCTTATAAGAAAATAATCAATCTACGTTTTACTATATCTATTTTTATAAGTGATAAGGTGTTCATCTCTTTTCTTAAATAAGGTATTAGCTTTTAAGAAATTATAAGCTAAAGAAAAATCTAATATAGTCTTACCACATTCATTTATCATTCCAAACTCATGGCCATCATGGATGCTTTTAAAATCATTTACCTCTCTACCAACATATCCATTTAAATCTCCTTCAATAAAAACTTTTTCTTCAAGAGGTATATTCTGTATTAATTCTTTTAAGTCATTCTAAAATTTTAATTTGAACTCAGATCCAAACCTACTTGAGGAGCATAAACACTTATAATATTAACAATCTTAGCATCAACAACAATCTTTAAAGCTATAATTTTATCTTCAATTGTGTTAATTTTTATAACATTATCCTTCAAACTCTTATCTATAATCACATATACACCATTTTTAGTATGACACCTACCAGAATATCATAATTTATATCCTAAACTATTAATCTCCTTAGCTTTCTCTCCAACCCATTTAATTTCCTGAATGCATAGAATATTTATCTTCCTATGGATCATAATATATATTAATTCTAATAATTTTCCTATAAGGGAGCCTATATTCCAAGTTCCTATCCTAATTTTAGTTTCATGGACTAGTTCTTTGCCCACATCTGTCCTTAATATGGGAACCCTTGCCTATTTAATACTGCACCCGGCGTCGGTGCAGCGACCCTTGCACACTTGTCACTATATTCAGGCCATACAGCGCGTCGCTTCCAGGGACGCCCTAGAATTAACATAATTTTTTAAAGGATTCATGTCATGATTATTCGACAAGTTTTACGTTGGCTGTCGACTACCTAATGTAACCCCACACTTTTCTTATCCTGGACTTGGGACCTGGCAACGTAAGTGTTCCATTAATATAATCAAGAATATGAAAAATTATATAAGTTGAGCTCTTGAATATTAGGTAGTTTCTTTTGTTGGTTTCATGATTATAATGTCTCTTAACAATTAGTGTGTTTAGTTACTATTTGAGCATAATGTAAAACCTATGTTATAATGTTCATTTGCTCCAAATAACATAATGAATTTTTAAAAGTCGTGAAACCAATTAATAAAATACATGACTAATGAACTTTTGACTTACCTTAAAACTTGTAATAAACTAATTTTAATCAAAGTCATACACTGAAATTCACTAAGTAGCAAACAAAAAACTGATTTAATAATGATAAGATAGTTATATGGTAACCTGAGTTTATGAGGCTGTTAAGTTAGCCCCAAAGAGGGTGAAATAAGTCTCATGGCTCTAATTTAATAAGGGTAATCATCGCATAATCTAATTAGCTCGTAATAAACCACCAACAAACTAAATCTTGCACCCCATGTAATATTTAATTTAAAGAATAAGAATGCACATTAAATTTGAAACTTTAATAATTAAAATGATTAATAAGATGTAGCAAATACATAAATATTCTACATAATCAATTGATAGTAAAATATAGTAAAATCTATAAAGATCATAAACTCCTAATTAAACACATAAGAATTCATAAAAATCATTAAAACCCTTTAACCAACCTATAACTTTAAAAATCTTAATCAATCAAATGAAATCATAAAATACATCTTAACAAACTCTGAACTCAATCTTGAACAATAATTTATATTAATTAAGGTGAAAATAAATCAAAACTATAAATTTTTTCTCACAAATTCTCTAATATTTAATAAAACACTAATATATTAAAACTTAAACTAAAATTTCCTTAACTTTAAGCAAACAAATGAATTAGTAGAAGGAGCAAATGAATTTCAAGTTATACCTTAGTGTCATAACTTGCATCAAGTTTATGTTCATATTTTCACACTATTTTCTTAACACATGAAAGGTATATAGGTTGGATACATTGAGCTACGTGGCTAAGTGTCCTAAGGAGGTCTGGTTCCTCGAGTCCACCATGATAACACCACGTACCTCATAAGTTAAGGGGAAATAATATAAAGACTTACATAAATTATCTCTCTTTAAAAATTTAAAACCATCCTTAGGAGTCTAAACCAAATTCTTAACCACCCAAATATTAAACTTTAAGTTAGATAGAACCTATACATATCTATAGGTAGTGATTTTTTTCTATTCTCACGTCAATCTCTAAAATAAATCTACCTTAGGGAAGCTTAGATTTTTCTTTATTGTAGAAGATAAATTAACTTAAGATGTCACCTACTAGCCTTATCTTGAGTCTTAGATTATCAATGAAGGATTAATCGACCCTTGCCACCTTATAACTTTTTCAACCTATGGGACACTTGCCCTTTTTTTATTTTTTTTTATTTTTGTTTTCTTATTATTTATTTTTTAATCAAATTCTTTATAACCTTAGCATATATTAGGGCTCATATCTTTGTGCTCTTCAAAACTCAATAATTGAAATTATAATCCTAAAATTAATCACTAATTAATTTAATAATAAGCATTAATCACTAAAATATGAATTTGAGGATTAATAAATTATACAACAAGATCCTGATCTTGTAACTTGAACCACTCATCTAATTTAGGGTAGTTAGGTACACTAATATTTGTACACACTTAGGTATTGAATAAGACATTCTTTTATATGCATCATAGAGTAGGGTGTAGTTAGGATAAAATTTTATAATTTTTTCTTTTTTTTTTCATTTTGCATATGTGATGATGTGGTGATTATTTTTGTTTTGATTGTTTTACGATTGCTTTCTTTTTTTATGGATTGATGAGTGGGCACTTGCCCTTAAGTGGTTAGACTTTTATAGAAATATCTTTTGCAGGTATCATGTTCCCAAAAAGAAATTATAAAATGCTAAAATAATTATTATTAATACACTTTCTAATAGGTACTGCAAGGTATGCTAAGCCCTTAGGAATATGGCTTTAAGGATTAGGTTCTAGATGATTAATTTGTGATTATTTATTATAATTGTGCTAACATTATTTTTTATAAAAGATTTATGTAATTCTCATTTTTAAATGTAATTTTAGTTAGGAAAGCTTTTTAGGTGTGTGGGAATCTTAGAAGGCATGAGGCCAAGTAGGTGGAAACCTATCAAGAACCCACAAATTCATTTATGTATAGATTTAGGCTCAATTATATATATGATAGGGCACATCTATCCTATTTTAATTTTATTGGGGTGTATTATAGAACCCAGCTGCATTCATGGCCATTATTATTATTTATTGTGATGATTTGCTTGTTTACTTTGATTGCAAATTAAAACTACATGTTTTTCATATGTTTCTTACTTTGCTTTGGTTGAGGGTGGCTCAGACGGAGTTCTCATTAGTCTCTTTAGGATGTTAAGTTTTTCTTAAAAAAATATTAAATTTTCTTAAGCAATATAAAATAAATATATAATTTAAAATCAATCAACTTTTGAAAAATTAATGCATGATCCCTTGTGGACCTTTTTTTAAAATGATGAATATTATTTCCAGCCTTATTCACTTCATAGTGATTATTTGCTAGTTTTGATTGGCCATACACTTGCGCCTTGAGTCAAAATATATAGTTTTTCGTTTATAACATAGATGGATAATTCACTTTGTATAGCATTGTACCATTCATGATCGGATTTGATATCTATTTCCTTTCTTTGACTCACACCACTCTTGAATTTGCATAAGACTAAGTTTCATATATTTAATATGCTAGGTGGAGTTTAGCTGATACCCCTTTCCGAGCAGGGTGGTAAATTAAGATTAGGGCTACTTAGATTCATAGTGGGTTTTAAGTTATAAGTCCCCCCGTGATATTTTGTATTAGTTTGGTCATGGACGTTAGTACTTGGTGTACAATACGTCCTTTATAAAATTAGGATCAAAAGGCTAGCTATATTGAAGTATGTCTTATTAGTGAGTAATCTCTTTATTCTTTAGAAGTTCCAAATCCCACCCATTTGCATAACACTGAAGGTGCCACTCATCTTTCTCTCATGCATTATTGGTAGGAAATGACTCTTCTTCTAATTTCTCTTTGGAATGGCCAAGTACTTGTATGATTCGTGTATGACTAAATAGACTGATTAAATATTTCTTCCTTTGGATTAGGAGAGCCTAGATATTTTATTATGCACTAAACCCAATAATATAACATCCTTAATAAAGAATTTTATTTGGTTGAGGCCTAAAATTTAATTAGCCATAGGGGCTTGCGCCCGTGAAAAATCGACACCCACATCAAATAAACTCTAGTCGAGATAATTTGTTAGACGGGGGAAATCTCATAACGTTTATGTCATATATATTATTTTTCCATAAGAGGTATATAGGTGAACGCCACTATCGTTCATGGTTAATCATATATTTAATCTCATTTGCTCTTTCATTTTCCTACTTGCATAGATTATAAAGGTCTACAATTATTTTATCTTATGGGATAGTACGATCGTAACTTTTACATTCTAAACCCCGCAAGTAACATATTTTCGCACACCCACATCATCGATTGGGTGATAAACAAGTTATATATTTTTTTCCATGTCTTATTCCAACCATACAGTTTGCTCTATTATAAAGATTATCATTCGGCTCAATTTGGGATGTAAACTCATACTGCAGGGGATGAAATGGCATGGCACATTGTTGACTCAGATAAGTAAGCCACCACGCTATTATCCAATAATTTATAATATTGTAAATGATTGCTCACTATCGTGTTGTTTGGATCAGAGAACGGAAATGCGTTGCGTGACCTGCTGCAGCCGTTTTAATAGATTTTATTAATTTAAATAATTTAAAACCCCTTTTAATTAACAAATACTTTCAAAAATTATATAAAATTCATTTCTATCCATATTTTGTAAATGAGTACTCATTTTCTTCAAAATTTTACTCTCTTTTTTAAAATTAAAATCAATTAAAATTGCTTCATGAATTTTAAGTAATTTAAAACATTCAATTTTTTGTTTTTAATTAATATTTTATGAAATATAAATCTAAATGTTTTGAAATTTTGGAATAATTATTTTAATTAGTATTTTTGATCTCCAATGATTTTCCCATATTTATCTAAGCACTTTTTAATAGCTATTGAATATTTGTGAGTGTAAACCTTTTTGAATTCATTATTTTTTTTTAAAAATAGTTTAAATTGTTTTTCCGTTCTTTCAATTCCTTCATTAAAGATTTAAACCAAAGGTTAGTTATATGTGAGTTGAGTTAACCAATTCAAATGCAAGTTTATGTTATTTGCATGTAACCCTTTACTTCAATTTGCATATTTACCAATTAGTCAATTTAGCTTACATTCGGATTTGATTTTAGATGCTATGGTAACTGTCCATCTTACCATAACATTTCATTGTTAATAATGTGGGGAAGTGTTGAGTAGGTGAGTTTTTAAATGCATGGGTTAAAGGTTAACTCAAGCATTTGAAAATCCATCCCCTTCCATGCACGTAGCCTTAGGACACTTGATTGTTGTTGGTTGAAAAAGAAGAGCTTTTCTTTGCATTGGAAATATACAAAACAAATTGGAATTAATTTTTTTTTTTTTGAGAAAATTTGATTTCTAAAATTTCCAATTTTGAAGTTAAACAAGTCATTATGAATAATATATAGCCTCGGGAGGTAAAGATATCATTCCCCAATGGGTTGCGATAACAAAACTAAAATTTTCAACCTAATTATAACAATCAAATTCAAGGAAGAACTACATATGACCCTGGAGCGTCAATATGATGTTCTATCAAATATTTAACTATCATAGTCTGGATGATGTATCATTGATTTTATATCCAAATTCAGTATAATAAATGATACATTTTTCCAAGTAAAGAGAATATCATTTTCAATCAATCTTTTGAATATAAAAATAATGAATATAATTTGATATTGATCTTTCCAATGAGAATTAATTAATTTTTATAAAAATAGATATTGTGTCTTTAATTCTCTTTGAAAACTCTTGACTAAAATAACAGTAGAAAATTTATTTTTCAATTCTCAAGGAGTGATATCAAAGGAGTGAGGTTAGAATTTCAATTGGGATTTGATCAAATTTGAACATTTATTTTTGGAGGTAAATGGAAGAGAAGGAGGAGGCATTTTTGAATTTTGAAACAATTCAGAAATGCCTTAGTATGCTTATATATGGGCTTTAAATTTTGGATTAAAGATAATTTTAATTTGAGTTGTTGATTTATTAGAATGGTGGGATTATATTCCCGAAAGGTGGGGTCTTATGATTTTGAGTCTGATCCGGATCCAAAATTTAATGTTGACACTAAATAATAGTAGCCCGAACTAGTTAATATAGTATAAATCTAGACATATCCTGACTATTTTAAATTTAAATAGAAAAAGTTGACCACTAAACTTTATATAGGGTAATTATGCTTAAAAAATGTAATTTAAAATTTTGACTATTTTAAATTTATTTTTAACACAACGTATGCTAATTGATTCAAAAATATAAAATGAATATGAAGCAGTTTAATATAAGGCTTAATAAAATAATTTTTTTCGGAGATTGCACAAAATCCCCTTAATAGAAATGCACCCTAATAGGTCATGTGGTTTGCCAAAACCCCTAAACGGAGAGGTGCCTAATAAGGAAGAAAAAAAAATTAATATGCATATATAAGAACTCTTGGCAATCCCAAGCTTATTTCTTAAATTGTTAGAGTTAGTATGCGAGCCTAAGTTTTTTATTTAATTTAAATAGAAAAAGTTGTATTCATAACCTCACGAGCCTCCGCGTATCTAGGCTAAATCAAATAGGAAATGCAATAAAAAAATTAGAAAAGTAGAAAATTTTTAAGCATAATCAATGCAAATAATTAATTAAACCAATCAATTAAATAATATAAATTTCAATATGATAAGTGTCACTTAGTTACAACCAAAGGTCTGCAGAAAATAAAGTGGCCGAAAACAACCAACAATAGCCTGAATTCTAATCCTTAAAATGATGTAAGTGACTTTAATTGTGATATTCCTTATCTTGACTTCTTCGTCTCATGTCCTGCCGCCATCGTTTCAACTGATTTTATTAATTTAAAACCCCTTTTAATTAACATAAACTTTCAAAAATTATATAAAAATCATTTTTATCCATATTTTGCAAATAAGTACTCATTTTCTTCAAAATTTTATCCTCTTTTTTCTTAATTAAAATAAATTAAAAATGCTTCATGAATTTTAAGTAATTTCAAACATTCAATTTTTTATTTTTTGTTAGTATTTTATTAAATATAAATCCAAATGTTTTTAAAATTTTGAATAATTATTTTAATTAGTATTTTTTATCTCAAGTGATTTTTTCATATTTATCTAAGCACTATTTTAATAGCTATTGAATTTGCATGATTGTAAACCCTTTTAAATTCATATTTTCTTAAAAATTAGATTAAAATGTTTTTCCATACTTTCAATTTCTTCATGAAAGATTTAAACCAAAGCTTGATTATATATGGGTTGAATTAACCAAGTCATATGAATGTTTAAGTTATTTGCACGTAACCCATTACTTCAATTTGCATATTTACCAATTAGTCACTTTATCTTGCATTTGGATTTGACTTTAGATGTTATGGTAAGTGTCTATCTTACCATAACATTTAATTATTAATAATGTGGGGAAGTGTTAAGTAAGTGAGTTTTCAAATGCATGAGCTCAACTCAAGCATTTGAAAACTCATCCCCTTCCATGCACTTAGCCTTAGGACACTTGATTGTATGGGTGGCTGATTGTATGTATATGCTAACGGTTAGCAAACTATGATTTCAATCATATATAAATTAGTGACATTTAAGGACAAGAATTAAGGACTAAGGTATAACAATTTATGAAAATTCTATAAAATCAAGCATGCACCCAATAGGGGTGAAAGTCAAAACATATAAACATAGTGACAATACTTACCCTAGGCTAGGAGTTCATTGATTTTAAAAGTCATTAAGTAAGAAATTTAATTAAGTCAAAATTAATCCTTTAATTAAGTTAAATTTTTTTAAAAATCATAATTAATTCAAATTAAATACAAATAATATATCAAATTGACCAGAATTAAACCCCTAACCTAGGAAAATTAAAAGCCCTTTGACTGGACCCTTAATTTAATTATTAGTGAAAATTAATATTTAATTAAATTAAACATTTAAAATAATTAAAAATTCCAAATAATTTTCAAACACAAGAGAACACTCCTATAGGTTAGGTCATCAAACAATTTTAATTTTTTTTTTATGAAAGCATTTAAAAACTCCTTAATCAAATAATTTAAAAATTCTATTAATCACTGAAACTTTAAAAATTTATAAGTAATTCTAGAAACTTCAAAATTAAGCAAACTCAAAGTCATTATATTCCATTTAGGTTATAGTATTTATTAAAAAAACAAATCATCAGAAATAAGTCAAAGTAAAAAAAAGCAAACTTTTTGTTCAATTGTAGTCTAAAGTTGAGTCAAAACTTCAGAACATAATCTAGAAAAATCTAGTTATAGCAGACTTAGAGTTTAATTACTTATCTTAGGGTCTAGTATTTAGAAAAAATATTAAAATTTTAGAATTCACTTTAATTTAAAAAGTCAAAATTTGACCCTTTAATTTAATGTATTAAATAATTCACAAAATTATAAAAATTCAAAAATTATTTGAAACTCCCGAAAATATTACCTTGATTAATAAAATCAATTAATCACCCATTAATACATAACAAGCACTCTAAAGATAAATTTTTTAGGATGGACTCTCTTGAGTTGTGGAGCTAAGTGTCTCAATGAGGTTTTATCCTTGAGCCCACTATGGCAACACCACAAGTGGATTTAATGGAGTATAAAATTTTAAAATTAATTAACAAAATTAAATACATCAACCAAATTTTTTGGATGGACTACCTTGAGCTACGGGGCTACATATCCTAAGGAGGTTTCGTCCTTGAGCCTACTATGACAATGCTACAAACTGATTGATGACAAACTTAATTAATTCAATATTTAAAATCAACAACCAACTTAAGCTCCAACCAATTAAATTAACTTAATAAAACTAACTATTACTAGATAACCTGGGCCTACGATGCAATTAACTTTGACCCAATGAAGGTGAAATAAACACTACAAGACAAACATAACCACATAAATAAATAAACTAAACATAAACATACAACAAGAATATAAATAGTAAAAACATAATATGCATCAACTACCCTAATTTCTTATGCACTTACATTGATGATTCCTATTCTAGTCTTAAGTGCACTTAATATTTCATAATGTAGGGGTTTCGTGAAGATAACCAATTGATTCTATGTGTTTACAAATTATATGCTCACATCACTCTTTTCCATTTGGTACCTAATAAAATGGTGTCTCACATCAATGTGTTTAGTGTGCAAAAGCTAAATTGAATTCTTAATGATATAGATCGCACTCATATTATTACACAAGGTGAGGATGGTGTCCACGTATAATTCAAAATCAAGAAGCTCTTACTTCAACCAAAGGGATTGGGAAATGCAACTTCCTATAACTATATACTAAGCTTTTATACTAGATAAAGCTTTTGCACTTTGCTTTTAATTGGACAAAAAAATTAAGGATTGCTTTATAAATTGCCAAGTTTCTGAAGTGTTTATCCTATCCATTTTACATCCTATAAAATTTGAATATGAGTCTCCAACTAATTCAAATGCAAATATATTCTTGATATACCAGATAATTAACTTTTGAGTGCCTATAATATATCTAAGGCTTA